AAGGGTCTTACCCGCCAAACACACACCGAAACTACGACGTTGGTACAACGTTCGAACAACTTTCAACACCTCCTAACCAGTTATAACAACCAATATAACAAGTTGTAACAACGTTCTAATACGTCATAAACACGTTAAGCCAAGTTGTAACAACTTTATTACAAGTTGTAACAAGCGGAAAATAGAGACAGTTACGGTTTGTGTTTCCAGGGTAAGGACCAGCACCAAGTGCCCACCCTCTCCCGCAACCTCGGCCGGTGCCACAACCTCCCAACCCGGGGAACCAGCATCCTGGGATGCAGACGCAGCCCGAGAAGACACAGGACCAGGTGACAGTCCCACCATAGGACCCATCACCGCTGCGACGAACCTCCGGAGTCCTCAAAAACCCTGGCGTCGTTCCAGGCCGCACCATTAGGCGAAGACAAACTCAAAGCTCGCCGCGATCGCTTGGAAACGGGTCACAGGTCATCAGAACAATCACCCGTCAGGAGGCATCGCAGCAGAACTTCCGATCGGTCACACAGTGTACGATCACTCAACATCGCAGCCTCAACAACCCGGGGAACAGAACCACACACAGCAAGAGACATGCACGTGCTCGTGCACGTCCACATAGGCCGGGATGCAGCCTCGACGTCTGGGGGCACGAGACCATTCACCACAGGAGACACAACTGGGGACTCGACTGGAGACGGGGCTGGCTGAGGTGCGGGAGCCGGGGAATGCATTAACTACCACCCCGACACCCCCACCGCAAGCCACATCGAGGCTGGCATCAGAGACCGGCAACGGGGCACCAGACGACTGGGAAGTATCACTCATCACAGCAGCACCTTCCGACAGGTCCGGGACTGCCAACGGAGGAAAGTCATCCTCCCTGAAGTGGTTTACATGCCCGACTAGGCTCGCATCACAACCCGCAGCCTGATGGCCCGAGAGTCAAAACAAAGTCAAACAAGTCAAAACAAAGTCAAAACAAAGGGAAACAATTCCGGGGCTGGCCTCCCATAGAATAAGTGTAGCATGAAGCCCAGAAGCAGGAGAGAAGGGATGGGGTCGTTCAAGCGCCATAGTGCGGATCCCATTCGGGATACCCTTCCACCGCTAGGAGGAGACTGCATTCATCCGGACACTCAAGACTCGCCCTTACCGGGTAAAGTGATGCTGGAGAAGGGAGTCAGGGAACTGAAAGGGAGCACCATGAACTGCCACATAGGTAGTCTCACTGCACCTGTCCGACACATCCACCGAACCTCCACCCTCAGGCAGAGTAAACGTCTTCCCGTCATAGCGGTCCACAAAGTCACGATACACAGGCGAGTAACAGAATTTCACCACAGCTCGATGTCCGGATACATGTTGAACGCCGCACACAGACGCCACATCCACCCGAAACATATCAATCATGACCACTTCAACTGCCGGGTAAGACGCTGGGCCTGTAAATTTTAGGTCAATGGTATGCCTCGGCTTAACAGGGGGAGGGAGGCCGCCATCCCTCCAACCGGCACGGCCCCAAGGGTCCACTCACAAACACGAACTACCACTGGCCAGCAAACCAGGAGCTCACAGGCGACACGTCCGCCTCCGCCCAGAGCCAGGCGAGCTCTCCCTTTACTCTGATGTGAGTTGATGAGTAACATGTTAATTTAATTAAATTTATTCTTAGAGTATTAGAACGCCAATAGTACACAGGAAAAGTCTCATACAAAAAGCTATTGTCAAACTGGTTTTGCACTTCTTTTGATAATTTACTTTCATATAAACAAGTGTAATTCTATCAAAGGACTGGCAATCTGGCTCAGTCATTCGGCCAATTATCGAATTTCGCAGCGGTCCACACCAGGGTAGTCACGTGCCACTACTGAGTGGAGCGATGTAGTCACAGATGGGGCTCCGCCGCTCCTGGGCGAAGCTGAGGACTGGCAGGCAAGCCGGAAGGGGCACTGGACACCTGTGCCAGATGTTGTCCCTGGACACCTGCACCAGATGTTGTCCCTGGACACCTGCACCAGATGTTGTCCCTGGACACCTGCACCAGATGTTGTCCCTGGACACCTGCACCAGATGTTGTCCCTGGACACCTGCACCAGATGTTGTCCCTGGACACCTGCACCAGATGTTGTCCCTGGACACCTGCACCAGATGTTGTCCCTGGACACCTGCACCAGATGTTGTCTCTGGACACCTGCACCAGATGTTGTCTCTGGACACTTGCACCAGATGTTGTCGCTGGACACCTGCACCAGATGTTGTCTCTGGACAGCTGCACCAGATGTTGTCTCTGGACACCTGCACCAGATGTTGTCTCTGGACACCTGCACCAGATGTTGTCTCTGGACACCTGCACCAGATGTTGTCCCTGGACAACTGTGCCAGATGTTATCCCTGGACACCTGCACCAGATGTTGTCTCTGGACACCTGCACCAGATGTTGTCCCTGGACACCTGCACCAGATGTTGTCCCTGGACACCTGCACCAGATGTTGTCTCTGGACACCTGCACCAGATGTTGTCCCTGGACACCTGTGCCAGATGTTGTCCCTGGACACCTGTGCCAGATGTTGTCCCTGGACACCTGCACCAGATGTTGTCTCTGGACACCTGCACCAGATGTTGTCCCTGGACACCTGTGCCAGATGTTGTCCCTGGACACCTGCACCAGATGTTGTCCCTGGACACCTGCACCAGATGTTGTCCCTGGACACCTGCACCAGATGTTGTCTCTGGACACCTGCACCAGATGTTGTCCCTGGACACCTGCACCAGATGTTGTCTCTGGACACCTGCACCAGATGTTGTCCCTGGACACCTGTGCCAGATGTTGTCCCTGGACACCTGCACCAGATGTTGTCCCTGGACACCTGCACCAGATGTTGTCCCTGGACACCTGTGCCAGATGTTGTCCCTGGACACCTGCACCAGATGTTGTCCCTGGACACCTGCACCAGATGTTGTCCCTGGACACCTGCACCAGATGTTGTCCCTGGACACCTGTGCCAGATGTTGTCCCTGGACACCAGCACCAGATGTTGTCCCTGGACACCTGCACCAGATGTTGTCCCTGGACACCTGTGCCAGATGTTGTCCCTGGACACCTGCACCAGATGTTGTCCCTGGACACCTGCACCAGATGTTGTGCCTGGACACCTGTGCGAGATGTTGTCCCTGGACACCTGTGCGAGATGTTGTCCCTGGACACCTGCGCCAGATGTTGTCCCTGGACACCTGTGCCAGATTTTGTCCCTGGACACCTGCGTCAGATGTTGTCCCTGGACACCTGTGCCAGATGTTGTCCCTGGACACCTGTGCCAGATGTTGTCCCTGGACACCTGTGCCAGATGTTGTCCCTGGACACCTGTGCCAGATGTTGTCCCTGGACACCTGCACCAGATGTTGTCCCTGGACAACTGTGCCAGATGTTGTCCCTGGACACCTGCACCAGATGTTGTCCCTGGACACCTGTGCCAGATGTTGTCCCTGGACACCTGTGCCAGATGTTGTCCCTGGACACCTGCACCAGATGTTGTCCCTGGACAGGTAGCCAGTCTGCAAGATTAAGAATATATGTAAGAGATTACATTTGTCTCAAGGGTTGTGTCCCATGAATAATTAGCAAGCAATTATGGCCAGCTATGCTCGGCCACGGTGGAAGCCAGAAGGCATGTTTAAAGACCAGCACTATGAACAAATTCATGCTATCATTAAATCATGTTATCAAGTTATGAATAATAAGAAGCTTGGCTCTGGAGGTAAGACATGTCCAGATCTTCTGAGAAGGTGGAGGAGAGAGTTAAGTGTTCTGACTGAGATGCTTGGCCTCTGAGCATTTGTGACCGATCAGCCAGCAAGGTCGATCATGTCTGCCAGAAAGAACAAGTGTGAAGGTAAATCTGGCATATTAAAGCTTATGATACCTCTAGACAAGGAGCATTGAAATGGATAACGAATATTGGAGTGGTCAAAGTCAAGGCCGATGGTTTCATGACCTGAAGGTATTACGACCAAACAGCTGGTATACAAAAAGTTAAGCCACCAGGAGAAGAATTAAGTTATTTACCACAAGATCAGAAATTCCTTAAATAAGTGATTCCACGCATTTACCGCGTGAAGCTAATCCAAAGTATTTCAAATTTCCCAAGTTAAAAGAATTAAAAATATAACATTTTATAAACACTTCTATATTCGATTAAATTTGTTAAAATATAGTCAAAACTAGCTACACTATAACCATCACACATCGGACGAATTATATAAACAAAATATGGATGTTCATTCATAGTTATCAGCAAGCAACCCGTCCTCAGACTAAATCCATTCCATCCAGCGGTCGACCCCAAGGACGTATTCATAAATTTTAGCATGCTGTTCATTCAAAACGGGAATTTTCTCAAATATAAATTAATATTATAAGATATTAGTATATCGTGCATATATAGGCATAGGTTAGATTAGGTTAGGTATTTAGGTTCTATTGGCGATTATTTGCATTTGTTGTACGTGGGTGAAGCATTTATACCTTTGTGGTTCGAACGAAATTCGTCAGAGAAGCAATTATTCCGGAAGTGTTCGAACGTCATTAGTTGTGAGTCGTGTGTAAACCGTTTTTCATCCTTAAACAGTATGAGGTTTGGCGGCTGCATGGAATCAATTTTGGGTCTTTGTTTGGAGGACGGGCTGTCCGGAAACAAGTGCTTCACTGACGATTTTTGTTCGAGCCACAATACTGTAAATGCTTCACCCACGTACTACAAATACAAATAATCGCCAATAGAATCTAAAAAGTAACCACCTAACCTATGCCTATATATTTGCACAATATGCTAATATATTATAATATTAATTTATATTTGAGAAAATTCCCGTTTTGAATGAACAGCATATTAAAATTTAAGAATGCGTCTGTGGGGTCGACCGCTGAATGGAATAGACTTGAGTCGAGGACGGGTTGATCGTTTTACTTATTACATGTGAATGGTTCGGAGGTCGCCTCGAGGCTTCACAAGGTTACTTGGAGGAAGTGTCAGGCAACGGCAGGCAGACGACCTGGTTGAGGATCCCTGATCACACCCGGCTTGTGACCTGCAGTTTATGGTCGGCGTCTGTTAGTCAGCACCTTTGGTCATCAGTAGCACAATGGAAGAGGAACACGAAAGTTTGTTTATTGTGTATTTTATTTTTTATAATGGTTACACCTTTGTGAAAACTTGGTGAATTCTATTAGTTTGTTTGTGTTGGGTTCTATTTTTAGATATCCCTAAGGCTACGTGTCCTCATTAGAGTATTCATCGCTAATCATAAATAGTTATTTTAATTTTCGCGTTTAGTACTCTAGCAAGTAGTTATAAACGTTGTAAAGTGTAACGTAACTAGCGGCCAGTTGTCTTAACGTGTTCAATCCTGAACTGCTGATAACATACTCTTGTCTGCTAATAACTTTAAACAAATGCTTTATAAACGTTGTAATATATATTCCAGTGGAGTCCCGCAGTACGGAGGCCAGTCGTGTAGCGCAATGCAGGGAGGAATACACTAAATGTAAGTTTACTTCATTCATAATTTTTTCTATTCTTTTTTTAAAGTTTGAACTCTTTAAAAGTGATCCTCCCCGTGACTATGCTTCCAGCCAAGCATGGTAAGCGTCTTCCTTCCCGAGGAAAGTCTACCAGTGTGCTCGGCAAGCCTCTACCCGAGACTGAAAACCCGACTGCTGCTTATGTTCCTGCTTCTGATATATATTCAGGCGTGTCTGCTGCTGCTAGTCGTGCTTTTGACAACGCTGAAGCATATGTTCCCTTCTGTCTTGTCTACGCTTCTGGTTCCCGTGCCGCTGCTGCCGCTGCCGGCGAAGTCGTCCCCCCAGACACAACTTGCCCAAACTGCAAGGTAAACCTTCTGCTTGACCTTTTTCGTGGCATACTTTTAAAGTGAAAATTGCAACAGACATTATTTACCAGACATTAAGCTGCTAAGCATCTCTAGTTTATCCCGTAAGTCTTTAATAAAGCTTTACTATCCCTTCATCCTCTTCCAGGAGGGTGAGGTGACTCGCAGGTTCGACATGTGTGGCCTGTTGTCCATGTTCTGTAAGCCGGAGATGAGGTGCCGGGTGTGTGGGTTCGTGGCACACAAGGAGTGAGCCCCTCGTCACAGCCCTGGGGGAGGTGTAAACCCTTAGAGACCTTCGGGGAGAGAAAAAAGAAAATTGTATAATTTTTAATAGTTCTTGGAAACTCCTCAAATTTTATATTTTTTAATTTGTGATGAAGATAACGGCAGTTGCCGGCATGTTTTAATATAATTGTTGTAATTTTTAGATTGACTTTCTGTATGTGGCTTTATTAAGCCTGTAGAATAAAATACTAGTTTCCTAAATGAACTATTAAATTTTACTACAAAAACTTCGCACTTTTATTAACCTCACTGATTCGGCGCTACTTCACCACGTGACTGTCTCAAAGGCGTCATAACCACTAGAGTAATAGTTACTTAATTAAATAAACTTCAGACAGTAAAGACCATGAAACGGCCGTTCTGAAAGCAAAAGATGAGAGCAAGTGATGTTCCCAACCGTAAGACCACAGTAAGGGACAGTGTGGTCTTAAGTGACCTAAATCTTAAATTGTTCCCACTTGGACACGTTCTCCCTCTGCCCTCCATCTGGTCAAGGAGCCTCCCCAGGGGCTCCTCACCCTCGGTGTAGTCCACACTTCATTAAGTGGGTTAATGTGGAAGTTCTACAGGCTCCACTGTACGTAATGGGTGCACTATGGAAAAAAGTTGGATTCAATTTAATCTATGATTGTGGCAGTGGGTGGTCTGGCTGGTGAACCTTTACAGATCTGACACTAGCAGGCAATGAATGGGGGGGGGCGGTAGTTATAGGTTTGTGAATCATTCTAATGCTTCAGTAGTTGCAGGTGTATATCAAATGTTACCATTAAGTTGACAGTCTTTCTGTGCCTCTGGTAGTAGGGGGATGGTTGCGGGACAGTTGCCACCCCTGTCTGTATTCTCCTAGTTTGTGGGGGTTGAGCTCTGCTCTTTCGGCCCGCTTTTTTTTTTTTTTTTTTTTTTTTTTTACAAATTAATCTCTTGCATATATGCCCGCATACATAAAGGGAAGCAGCCCATAGCAGCTGTCTTGCTCCCAGGTACCTACTTACTGCTAGGTAACAGGAGCATCAGGGTGAAGGTAACTTTTTTTTTTTTTTTTTTTTTTTTTTTTTTTGCCCACTTGTTTTTCTGGCGGTGCCGGAGACCGAACCCCTGTTCCTTGCTCCACGAGCCTAGAGCACTGTCTATTCGGCCACCGCAGAGCGTCTGTCTGTCAACATCGCTAATGCGCACTTTGAGGGGGGGGGGGGGGGGTGGACCTTTCTTGTTGCTTGTGGAGTCTGGTTTCTGTGCACCCCCCCCCCCCCCCCTCCCCGCTCAGCTCGTTGTCTCCGTGTGGGGGCTTAGTGGGCGGCTGCCGGAGTGTGATGCTCCTTGGGACAGTCCTCTGTCCTTTTCTAGCCTTGTGCTCCTGCTGCCGTTCTCTCCAATTCTGCTGGGCATCTTTTCCTTTTCCTTCTGTTTCGTTTTTCACCCCCCTCTTCTCCTATCTGCTTGCCGTTTCCTACCGACCTTTTGCTCGTTCTGGTTCTTCCCTTGGACTTCTTCTATTTTGACGCCCGGGTGCTTGAGGAGGCATACTCATGCACCCGTAGAACTGCAGTACCCGACGTAGAGAGCGAGGGGAACCTTTTATTGTCAATCCCCACTTCGTCACTGAACCCGATCTCGACGGACTGTCGGTTTCTTAAGGTGGCGTTTGTGGGGCGTATACTCGCGACGCACCCCTAGGAGGCCCCGACAAGATCGGCGATAGCTTCTTGGGTGTCCTGCCTCTAATTGTGGCTCCATGGTGGGTGTGGGGGCACATTCGTGAGTGAATTCTTTCTTTCGTCAAGATGATTACCCCTGCTTCGGCTTCTTCTGGTTTCCCTTCTCAGGCTCGTGGGGTGAGCGACCAAGCCCCCGAGTCGGTCCGTATTGGAAGACCGGGCTCTGTAGCCTCCGCTGCATTGGGCCCCGACCTTGCTCCTCCTTTGGCCTCTGACTCCTTCCTCTGGCTCCCCTCCCTCCTCTGTGGTTGGGTCGAGCCCCAAGCCCCCAGTGGTGACAAACTCGTCCCCTGGCGCGGCTCCTTCTCTAGTTGTAACTACTGCGCCTTTTAACCCCTCTCTGGGGGTTCTCACCGCCGTCCTCGTCACGGCCGCCCTCGCTCGATTCCTTGCAGTTCTGCTACCTATCAAGCCTTGTTTGGTCCCGCTTCGTGGGCCAAATATTTTGATCTCCTCCCTCTTGATTCTGCGCCTCCTGACGATTTCTCCCTCCATCGACATCTCATTGATTCCGTGGATGCCTCCATTACTTTCAACCCCACTCGTCTCGGTACACGTGTCGTTGCTGCTCCTTCTCAGGATGCTGCTTCCCGCTTGGCTGCCTTATCCTGCCTTGGCGAGACCCCCGTTCGGGTCTCGAAGAACGTTCAGTTGAATGCCAGTGTTGGCACTATTTTGCTCCCGCCCCATGTTGCAACCGGTGTTCGGGACCTGCGCGACTGCCACGACGATATTCGACATATCCTCGCTGCCCAGGGCCACTCTATTCTCCAGGTGGACACGTTTACTCGTCCCCCTCGTGGTAGTCGCCGTCAACCCCTCCGGGTTGTGAAGATTACCTTTGATGGTAGGACCCTTCCACCCTCTGTCATTCTTGCTGGTGCCAGGTGCTCTGTCCAGGAGTACATTCCTTCTCCTCGGCTCTGCAACAAGTGCTGGAGGTTTGGGCATGGTGCCCTCCGCTGCTCCGGGACTCTCTCTCTGTCCTTTGTGTGGTGGCGAAGGTCACTCTAAGTCGGAGTGCGCTTCTCCCCAGGCTCGTTGCCTCAACTGCGGTGAGGCCCATCCTACCTTCTCCCGTGCGTGTGTCCATTACAAGCTTGAGGCAGCCGTCCTCAACTTGAAGCACCGGGAGCGTTTATCTTTTCCTGAGGCGAGGCGCCAGGTTCGCCGGCTCCCGCCTTATGCTAATATCTCTTATGCTCGCGTGTTGCACTCTTCCTCTCCTCGTCCTTCCCGCCTTCCTCAGACTCACAACCGTTTCCGGGCCTTGGACCCTGATGCGCCCACTGCCCCCTCCTGTCCCTTTGGTTCTCTCCCGAAGGATCCTCCTCCTGGTCCTGTCTGGGGTTCCCCTTCCTTCTACCCGGTCTGTCGTGTCTTCTGTGTCTTCTTCCTCGTCCCCCTCCGATCCTCCTTCCCATCCTCTTCCTCCATCTATCGGCTCTCCCCGCCGCCTGTCGGTGCGGGCGGATGTCCATCGCTCTCCTAACGGCCGTCGTGTGTGCTCTCGTTCGGCTTCTCCTGTTGAGACACTGGAATCCGTTGCCCGGTACGTAGTTGCTGGGACACCGGTCTCTTTAAGTCAGAAGCGTAAGCCTGGCTCCTCTCCTTCCTCTTCCCCGGCGGGTAAGAAGGCTTCGCTTTCTTCCTCAGCTCCTCCTCCTGGCTCTGTTGCTCCTTCCCCTCCTGTTTCAGTGCTTGCGCCCCCTGTTCCTGCTATGGAGGTTTCTTTGGCCCCTGCTTCCCTTTCGGTTGCTGCTCTTGCTGGGGTGCGCTCCTCTCTTTCTACTCCCCCTCTTCCTGCTGCTGTCCTTGACTGCTCCTCTCCGTTGTCTCCTCCGCCTCCTCCTCCTCCTCCTCCTCCTCCGGACCCTGCCCGCCCGCCTCTGATCTGTTCTCCCGTTTCCTTCCCTCCGTCTTTGCTCAGTTTACCCATGCCCCCTAACCCTGACTTTGCTGACCCTGATCCCGACCCTGATATTCTTTAACGTGCTCTGTTGGTCTTTCGCCTTTGTTTCTTCCTTGTTCTCTGTTTTTGTCCTTTCTCTTCTCGTCGTTGTCCATTCTTCAATGGAACGTTCGAGGTTATTACGCCAATTTCCTCGAACTCCAACTTCTGATTTCGCGGTTTTCGCCCCTTTGTGTCTGTCTCCAGGAGCCAATGCTTGGTGCTCGTCCTGGTCGTTTTCGTGGCTATTCCTTTCTCTCCCCCCCCCCCAGCCATTGCTGGGGCTTCTAATTCTTCTGCTCTCTTGATTCGGGCTGATGTTCCCTTTGTTCCTTTACTTTTTCCTTCGCCTCTCCATTGTTCTGTTGCTCGTATCTTTGTGGGGAAATGGTACACAGTTTGTTCCATTTATCTCCCCCCGAGTGTCCCGCTCTCTCTTCCTGATTTGAAACACCTCCTAGACTCCTTGCCGGAGCCTGTGCTCCTGCTGGGTGACTTCAATTGTCGTCATTCTCTTTGGGGTGACGTTCTGACGAATACCCAGGGTCGCCTCCTTGAGCCGTTTCTCCTCTCTTCTTCCCTGTCTCTTCTGAATTCTGGTGAGCCCACTCATTTGGACTCTCGAACTCGCACCCTTTCTTGTCTTGATCTTTCTCTCTGCTCTTCTTCTCTTTACTTAGATTTCACGTGGCAGGTTCTTGATGACCTCCATGGAAGTGATCATTTCCCCATCCTTGTTTCCTTTTTCTCTTTTCGCCCTTCCCTCTCTTTCCCTAGGTGGCAGTTTGCTAAGGCGGACTGGACCCTATTTTCCCTCAGTGCTACTCTCTCTGACCTCTCCTTTCTGCCCCTCTCTCGCGCTCTCCTCCTTTTTCATGACACTGTCTTCGACGCTGCCCTCCGCTCTATTCCTCGCTCTTCCTCTCGGGGTCCACGGAAGTGCGTTCCCTGGTCGAATGCGGACTGTGCTCGGGCTGTCCGCTGTAAGCGTGCAGCCTGGAAGAAGCACCGCCGTAGGCAGACGACCGATTCTTTTCTTTTCTTTAGGAAAGCGAGTGCGGTGGCCCGTAGGGCCATCCGTACGGCTAAACGTGAATGTTGGGCATCTTATGTCTCGACAATTACGTCCGAAACCCCTCTGGCCCAGATCTGGAAGCGTATCCGCAAGATAGCGGGTAAGTTCGTTCCCGATGTTTCACCGGTCCTTCACCTCCATGATACTCTTGTGGCGGACCCGTTGCAGGTCGCTTCCGAACTGGGTTCCCACTTTTCTTCTGTTAGCTCTGGTCTTCATCTTCCCCAATCTTTCCTTCTTCGTAAACCTGTCCTTGAGTCTCGTCCTTTAGATTTCTGCACTCATCTTCAGCTTCCCTATAATGATCCCTTCTCTCTCTCTGAACTTCGTTCTGCCCTGGCCCTCTGCGGTTCTACGGCGGCGGGCTCCGATGGTATTCATTATGAGATGCTTCGCCATCTCCCTCCGAGCACGTCTCAGTATTTACTGAGTCTGTATAATCGGATCTGGGAGTCGTCGTCAGTCCCTGAGGACTGGCTCGATGCC